TGAGCAGTTGTGCTGTAAGTACCGGAACTTTATGGATGACCTCTTGACAAAAGAATATGCAAGAAAGTTGACGAAAGACGAGGCTGCGGCTCGGAGCCCCGGGACGTGGTATCTACCGCACCATGGTGTCTTCCACCACACAAACTGGGAAAAATTCGTGTGGTATTTGATGCCGCGGCATTACGTGATGAATTTTCTCTTAACAATCAGCTGAATCGAGGACCAGATTTAACAAACAGTTTGCTTGGCGTGTTGCTGAGGTTCAGACAAGAGCGCATCGTACTTGCAGCAGACATGAAATCTATGTTCCTTCAGGTGAGAGTACCTGCCGAGGATGCCGACGCCCTCTGGTTTTTATGGTGGGAAGACGCTGACTTTCGTACCCCCCAGAGGAGTACCAGATGGTCTCTCACATTTTTGGCGCGAAAGATTCTCCAAGCTGCGCAAACTACTGCCTCAAAAGAACCGCTGACGATAACAAGAAGATCTTTAGTGAAGAAGCTGTTAAGTCCGTCCAAGAGGATTTTTACGTTGACGATCTGTCGAAGGCCGTAGAAACACCTAGCAAAGCGATTTCACTGGCACACGAATCGATGGCCCTACTGGAGAAGGGCGGATATCGTCTGACTAAGTGGACGAGAAATAGCCGAGAAGTGTTAGCGAGCATACCCGAAGATAAACGGGCGCGGCCGACTGTAAACCTGGACTTGGACGAGCTGCCTATTGAGCGGGCGCTGGGCGTTTTGTGGGACGTCGAGAAAGATGTCTTCCAATTTGAAGTCTTCAAACCCGACAAACCGGCCACTAAACGAGGGATCCTGTCTGCTATTAGTTCCCTTTACGATCCTATGGGTTGCGTCTGTCCAGTTGTGTTGGAAGCAAAGAAAATCATGCAGCGGCTGTGGAAATTATAGTTAGCATGGGATGATCCTATCCCAGAGAGCGAGCTTGCTCATTGGGAACTATGGAAGTCTGAGCTATCCGCTTTGACGCAAGTATAGATTCTGAGATGCCATCTCCAGCGACACGGAGAGGTGAAAGAAATTTCTCTTCACCAGTTCTCAGATGCGTCAGATGAGGGATATGACATGTGCCCCTATCTGCAGTTTGTCTATGAAGATGGTTCTATTCAGTGCTCCTTCCTGATTGGCAAGTCAAAGGCGATGCCGGTGAGGCCGATTTCAATCCCTAGACTAGAGCTGCAGGCTGCGACGCTTACTGCCAGGATTTATCAAGTTTGTCGAGAGGAGTTAACCTACAGGATTGACAGAGTGGTGTTCTGGACCGACTCTCAAACTACCTTGCAGTACATCAAAAATGAAAGCAAACGTTTTTACACCTACGTAGCCAACAGAATTGCTGAGATTCATGAGATAACCAGCCTAGACCAATGGAGACACTGCCCAGGAAAATTGAATCCAGCCGACGACGCTTCCCATGGTTTGAAGCCCCAGAAATTGATTGATCAGTATCGTTGGTGGAAGGGACCAGAGTATCTATGGGAATCAGAAAAGAACTGGCCTGAAGCCGAGATTGGCGAAGTCTTACAAAACGATCCAGAAGTTCGGAATGAAGTGCAAGTTCATTCAATCAAGACTGAAAGTCCTGACGCTGGACTCGACCCAGAAGCTCCATGCACGAGCGACCGGCCTGTTTACAAGATGATGACTTACTCTAGCTCGTGGTTGAAGTTGCAACGTTGCGTCGCTTGGCTAGTGCGCTTTTGCCATTGGCTAAGGAACCGGAAAACTTCTTCGAGTGTACAAGCATTGACCACAGAGGAGCTACAATAAGCAACCCTGCTAATCCTGAGGTTTGTCCGGGCTCAAAGTTTCGCTGAAGAACTGAGAGACCTCAAGGCCAATAAGAAAGAAAAGAGCTCCAGCAGGCTTGTGAAGTTGAAACCGGTGCTGGCGGAGGGGGTTCTTCGTGTTGGAGGCCGGCTGGAGGAAGCAGTTGTACTGTCTTACAACGATAAGCACCCAATCATACTCCCAAAGATACACAACGTTAGTCAGCTGATTGTTCGCTGCTGTCACGAACGTCTGGCCCATGCTGGTAAGGAGCAGACCCTGGCGCATACAAGGAAAATGTTCTGGATACTCGGAGGAAGAGGATTGGCGAAGAGCATCATCAGAAATTGCTTCAAGTGTCGCCGGTTCAATGAGAGACCAATGAAGCAGATCATGGCCCCCTTGCCTAAAGAGAGATTGCAAGCGTACAAACCACCCTTCACGTTCTCCGGCGTCGATTTCTTCGGGCCACTAATGGTCAAATAGGGCCGCGGTTCAGAAAAACGCTGGGGATGCTTGTTTACTTGTTTAACAACGCGAGCCGTTCTCTTGGAGCTAGTGCCCTCATTGGAGACTGACGATTTCATTATGACCTTGCGACAGTTTGTCAGCCGAAGGGGAACCCCGAGGAAATCAGATCGGACAGAGCGACCAACTTTGTTGGGGGGGGGGGAACATGAATTGCAAGATGCAATCAAAGGCTGGAACAACACTAAGATCTACCAAGAATTGCAGCAGAAAGGAGTCAAGTGCACTTTCCACCCTCCTACGGCGGCGCACATGTCCGGAGTCTGGGAAAGGCTGGCGCAGAGTGCGAAGAAGCACCTGAAGGCTATCGTGGGAGATAGATTGCTAAGTGAATTCGCGCTGCGAACTTTGTTCACCGAAGTGGAATTCATCATGAACAACCGCCCGATTGTAGCAGCCTCGGACGACCCTGCCGATTTGGAAGTATTGACCCCCAGCCACTTCTTGCTGCAAAGAAAGGTGACCGGATTGCCTCCAGGGGTTTTTGTCAAGGAAGACCATTTGGGCAGGAAGCAGTGGAGAAAGGTCCAATACCTAATCGACATCTTTTGGCAAAGATGGATCAGCGAATATTTGCCGACCTTGACTGAAAGAGAAAAGTGGGTCAAGGATCAACGAAATGTTAGAGTTGGAGATCTGGTGCTCATCATGGAATAGAATGTTCCCCGTAACAAGTGGAATTTGTGTCGTGTGACTGAGGTCTTTGTAGGACGAGATTCAAGAGTGCGATCCGCCAAGGTGAAGACTTCTAGCACGGAGCTACACCGCCCCGTTGTTAAACTGTGTTTATTGGATGGCTAGGACAGACACTTATCCTGTTTGGCAAACGTGTAAACTGGCCTTGACGTCTGCAGGGCCGCTGTCGTGTCTTATTTGTATCTGCCCACTAAAACATTTTAAGAACGTAACACGTGAATTCCAGCAATGCGAGTTCCAGCAAGTTCACTGCACGTGACCTTTTACGTTTCTTTTTTTTATGAATAAGTACTTTGGAACTCTAGTTTCTTGCAGTTAGTATCTAAGTTAGTTTGTAAAGTTCGCGAAGGGTTTTTGAAAAAGATTCAGAGAATTTCGAAGCGACGTGGAGCGATATAGGTAGAGAGGCTGATTTACGACGCTGTGGAACTCTGAAGAAAAAAGGAATTAAACGTGGAGTTTACACCAGAAAAGAATTTATTTCATCCATACTGAGATTTGCACTGTGAAGTACTATTCTTCATGTCTCTGATGGGAGGAACTATGTATTTTCAGAGCCATTTGCCTCCAATCTTTGAAATCTGTCTCGCTAAAAAAATCTCTGTATGTCTGAAATTAAAACATTATACCCAAGGAAAGTACTTGAACAATTTTTATTTACTTACCATGGTACATAAAAAAAATCACTTGTTTGCTGCGCTCACTCATTTGTTTTTTTTAATATGTATCCCAACTTGTGAATTAAAATTGTTCATGTGCACTTCCCATGGAATAATCTCAGTCTATATCTGTGACGTTTGTAAGGTCCGTTCATTGCGTGACAGAAATTAGATATGCGCAATAACGACAAGGGCAAGGCTCAGAGTTCGATTAAAACGATTTAAGGTCTCATCCTTGCGCTAAGAGGGAAAAGAGGTATGATGAAATATATTTGATTTAAGTTTGATCTTCCCATTTATTAAGTCATATGGAACACGAATCTTAACTGTAAATCGTCGATTGAAATTGTGTTGTTTCATGTTAATATTCGTTCCCACGTGGAGTTCATTGCATTGTCATCTTGTCTAGTATTTATCGAACAGTTCTTATAATTAATTTGTGTCCAATTAGTGTATTGCTACCGTTTTGTTACAGTTTTTACGTGGTATTAAACATTTTACGAGTCAAAACCGTGAACGTATGGTTTCCTAAAAGCTAACGTCATGA